ATAATCAGGTAGCATAAGTAGACTTTTTAAGCCATTAAATGACATAATACAAACGTAAAGTTACCGTTACATTTTAACATAAAACCGTTGAATTTGCGATTTCTATTTCTTACTTTAAGAGAACCATTGAAGGTATACGATTCATAACAAATTACTAATTTCTGTATCATAATACAACATAACCAATAAATGTGCACCCTCTATATCATATTACCACATAACCATCTATTATGCACCCTCCATAACATATTCCCACACAAACATAAAATGTGCACCCTCCATATAATATCACCACATATAAGCGTTGAATCGTCCCTTATAAAGTAGACCAGGGTACTAGCGAACCGTGCCGCACCATATTGTACATTATTGTACAACATAGCAGTCAGGTCACCACCAACTCTCCTGTGTTCAACCACTGTGCTCTAGATCCCACTGTGTCTACACGGCTCAATGGCCTGTGTTAATCCACTGTGCTCTAGATCCCACTGTGTCTACACAGCACAATGGCCTGTGTTAATCCACTGTGCTCTAGATCCAAATGTGTCTACACAGCACAATGGCCTGTGTTAATCCACTGGGCTCTAGATCCCAATGTGTCTACACAGCTCAATTGCCTGTGTTAATCCACTGTGTTAATCCTCTGTGCTCTAGATCCCACTGTGTCTACCCAGCTCAATGGCCTGTGTTAATCCACTGTGCTCTAGATCCAAATTTGTCTACACGGCTCATTGGCCTGTATTAATCCACTGTGCTCTAGATCCAGCATGTTAGATGTGACTAAAGTGTTTGTTGCGTTGGTCTTTAATTGTTTGATTCTATGTTAATATTATAATCACATATACTTACAATAATAATATGTTTTAGGAAAATCCGGGAATTAAAAATTAATGGAGATTGTTGACAAATGTAAACAAACAGTTTTCCTTTCGCATTAATTATTAAAAGTAAAATAAACGTTTTTTAGTTTAAAAAATGCATGTAATCTTAATTTAAATTTTAAAAAATTAATTGGATGCTAAGCATATCAATCACTAAACAAACAAAAATAAAACTTCCATGATACCTGAAGGCGAACATGAAGACTGAAATTAAATTTGGATTTTAAAAATTAAGATAGAATTCGGCATTAGTTGCATTAGGGGTTAAAAGCGGGTTCACATTACCCCTCGCCATCATATGTCTCAATCCTTGTTTTGTTCAAAAAGTCGTTATCAAGTTTGAGTGTCATAGTTGTGTATTACTATATTAAGTAAAGTACATCTTAATCTCCCGTAGCTCTTGCTGAAGCGTTCGTTCGTTCGTTCGTTCATTCGTTCATTCGTTCATTTCTTCATTGGTTCATTCGTTCATTCGATCATTTGATCATTCGTTCTTTCGTTCATTCGTAAATTCTGTCATTCGGTCATATATTCATTTGTTCATTCGTTTGGCTTTGAGTATCAACTAAAGAACGAATTTATTGATTTATTTTAAATGGAACGGATATGGAGAAATACTAAATTATTCTCCACCAAACGAAACCGAAAGTTACCTGAAACGTGATGGTAATATTTGCTTAAAGAAAACCCTCTTTATTACAAGGTTGTTTTTTTTTTAACTTGCATCCTCGGTTTTTTTTTCGTGCTTAGTTACTTAATGATTAATGCTTAATGTTCGCCCGTAATATTTCGAAACTGTTGAGCGAATTTCGACAACTGTTAACTGACCATTTTCTTTTAAACTTGGCTAGTGGGTCAATGACAATTCATTGTGATATGCAATTTGACTTTATCAATTTTCGATTATTTAATTAAGGCTTCCTACATAAACCACTATTGTCCACGCTATTATACGCATCATTAATGTCCATTTGATGCGCAATTGTTTTTTTCCTTTCTCGTATATACAAAGTATAGAGAAAGTCTTGTAATCGTGCAAAAAAAATCGAGATTTTTACAAATCTCGACGTTTTACATCTCACTGATACGGAAAACATAATTTTGCAATCTTGTCCGTATATCTGTGTGTCTGTCTCTCTGTGTGTGTGTCTGTGTGTAAACACGATAACTTGAGTACCGTTACAGCTAGGTTGATGAAATTTCATATATAAGTATTTTATCAAAATCGTAGATCCGTATCAACTTTTGAGCGATTTCCGATAACCGTAAGTGGTACTTTTCCTACTTTGAATTTTTAAAAGCCTATAACTTGAGTACTATTTCAGATAGATAAATGAAATTTCACATGTAAGTAAAAGATCTAATTCTCTACATTCTGTTAAATTTTGAGTAATTTCCGTTCACTGAAAGTAGTAATTTACGCTACTTCCGATTTCTCAAAAAGCTAATGTAAATTTTTAAAGTACTAATAATATTGCGCACTATTATGCACTTTTTTATTTGGCGTTTACTTGGTGTGCATTCTTTTGTCTACGAGATTTTATTCTATTTTTAAAACTTTAAGTATTTAAAATGGATTAAAAATCATAACTATATCCCGAGTTCCCATCCCCTGATATTTTATACAAGAATTTTCGAGAACGTTTTGGGGAGATCACTCCCGGTTTATTTGTCATTGTATTAAAAATTGTGATTTATCGAAAAACAAAAGCAGGATTGATCTCCTCTAAACTTTCTCTTATTAATAAATATAAAGCAAAGTAATCAAATGCCGGTTCGGTGATTTGCCGGCGCCGCAAGGGCTTTAAATTTGGTAGGCACTAGAAGGGGCGGATTAAGCTTGAGCGAGGCCCCCGGCTGAAATATTTGAGGGGCCTATATATATATATATATATATATATATATATATATATATATATATATATATATATATATATATATATATATATATATATAGGCCTATATATTTTTAATGTTATACATATTTGGATATAATAAATTATAAAATAGTTATGGTTCAAAATGCAACACTACACGTTGAGATATTAGTGACAAAACAAAGACATAACAAATAGCTAAAAATCCGGCACATTTAAAATAACATAGACAAAATTAAAACCAAATTATATACATTATTAGTTAACAGAACACCATATTAAATGCACACACTGATTAAGAGACTTTAATGATTCCGTTAAAAATCTAAGTAATTTGTATTAGTTTGACCGATAACATTGTATATATTTCATAGCGTACTTCATGATGAGTAGATCTATAGAACTATGTCTAAATCAAATTTAAATGAAATAGTTCTTTTCTTTATATTCTAAAATCAATTACACTATCATCACAGCTATTTAGGCATCTTATCAAACATGAAGAATCAAAGACGTAGATTAGTTAAGAAACTTAACTTACGCGAAAGGGACTATTCTTTCAAATTAATTTTTTTTATCCCAAAATTAGCCAGTTCTATAGCTAAACAAACAAAGATGTGTATAAAATAATTAAGGCGTGAAATAGTTTAATATAGGCCTAGAAGTTTATTAGTCGAATAGTTTCAAGAGTAGATAGAGTCTATATCTAGAATCTAGATCTTAGCGTCGACGTCTAGATTTTTGCGTAGATAAATTTGCGTAGATGTAGTCTAGATCTAGAATAATATACTAGATCTAAATATTATCTATATCTAAAATCCTAATAGATGAAGTGAATTTTATAAGTTTCGGCCGAGAAAATCGTAATGTAGGCCCTATACATTTCATAGAGTACGTAGCTCTAAATCACATTTAAATGAAATAGTTCATTTCTTTTTTTTCTAAACTCGGCAGATGACGT